TATATAATGTATGTATGTATGTATGTATGTATTTGTCACATACCTAAATTCTGAAATTTTTATTAAAATTATATGTTTAGCACTCACCTATTGCTCCCGCTGAGAAATCAATAATAGCTTGAATTACAGGATGTGGAGCCATGATTGAGCCTGTTTACATGTAAGAAAAAAAACAATACTTGAAGCCTTATTTAACCCCAACAAGGACATGTAAAGTAATAATATAATAATAACAATGTTAAACATTCTCAAACAGGAACAAAATACTGAAGAAAACAAAGCATTTGATGATTAAAAAAGGTAATCCATGCTCACCTCCTGACCTGTGTTGTCCACTTGGAGACTTTATCACTCACCGTGTGTTGGGTTTGTCTTCCCGTTCAGCCGAATTTCACTTCCTGTGAAAACTCAACGAGAGTATAAAAGTCCTCGCTGACATCCCGGAGAAGAAAGGGGAGCCTCCAGTTAACAGGAGAGGGTGACAGCCCTCTGTGACGAGTCGCGTTACGCGAAACCTTTCACAAGATCAGCGTCTCTTTCTTCACTTCCGCCTTCTTCAGAACCCGGTCGCGCGCACCTTACGTAAGCACGTAGTGATTGAAGAAATCAGAGAAGACTGAAGAGACTGCACCTGCTGGCAGGACAATTGTGGTGTAATGGCAGCCAATGACACTAAAAGGCGCTCCCCATAAAAACACAGGTAAACTGCAGGCTTGGGTTGGGTAACTGATGGGGAAAAGGCTGGTGTTTTAGTAAGCACGTTTCTTGAGATACATTGTGGGAAAATTTTGTCAGTTAATGAAATGCAGGGAAGAGAGAACACTAAAAGGAAAAATTATGAAGTTTTAAGAAAGAAGGAGAGCAATGTTGGTGATCTGAGGAATTATCCTTTCTCTATTGGAGAACTGAAAAGAGCTTTGGAAAGAACTGGTGCTCCAGGTAAAGATGAAGTGTGTTATATTATGCTAAGACATTTGAGTGATGACGTTTTAAATAAATTATTAATTTTGTATAATAAGATTTGGAAAGAGTCGAGATAGAGTAAATGGAAAGAAGCCATTTTTATTCCACCAAAGAAGCCTGGGAAGGATCATAGTAATCCTGGAAACTACAGACCAATTGCTTTAACATCGAATATGTGTAAGTTGATGGAAAAGATGGTGAATGAGAGATTAATACAATATTTGGATCAAGAAATGACTCAGCAACTGAGTCTGTAACTAGCAGTAGCCTACATGACAAAGTAGGAGGAAAATTAATAAAACCTCAATTAAGAACACACAAAATTCCCCGACTGCCATTTGGGGAGGGGGTCCTGAAAAAGGGCGGACTGCCAGGTGCGGTCCTGGGCTGTGGGTGGGCTCGGGGCTTGGACGGTTGCCTGGGGCGGGGCTGGCTCTCCGTCCTCCCTGGTGCTGCTTGGTCTCCTGAGGTGTGGCTCTTGGTTCCTGTGGTTGGCCCCCTGGCCAGGGTGGCTGCTGGGTTCCGGGGGGTGAACGGCTGGGGGTGGGGTGGTCATGGGTGTGGCTTCTCTTTGGCGGGGGGCTGGCCGGGCATCCTGGTGCGGCCCGGGCCAGGCCTTGGCTATCTGCTCCTCTCCACCTCAGAATGATTGGGTCTACCTCCTGGGTTCGGGT